ATGAAAATGATTTGATGAATCCTGTCCATAAATTAGCGTTATGGTGTTAAATTCCTACCGAGATCCCAGCAAGCCATTGTACCATATTGTAGTATAACAGGAAAACTTCCCCTTTTTTCTTACTATGTCTGTCTACTAATTATACAATCTAGTGCTTTCAGGTCATTAGCATAATTGGTTATGGGTCAACTACAAACTTTCAGAAATATGCAATTTGGCTGGAATGGTAGGGGGAAGTGTTTAAGTAGAACATATATATATTTTCCACGCGCTTAACGTCAAGATTTATTTTACATTCAGAAATGTAATGCATAAATATACACACACCAGTGATGCGAACGCATTCGTTTACTCACAGTTGTTAAATGGATTAGTCCGTGTCAATTAAAAAGGATTGGGGAGATGCTTTTCCCAAACCGTGAACCCTGCCCCAGTACAGTATACAGGGATTGTAGATCGAGTATGACGAGGGGAAGATGTATTGGAGATGTGTATGTGCTCTATAAAATTTTTATCAACAACTACAATTTTAAACGCTTATTAATACTTTAAAGCTATATTTTATCTCGAGTTATATATGACAAGAAGAAATTATATTAATACAATTGAACAATTCTACTTTTCAACTCGTTACCTTATAGAAATGGAGAATGTAAGTGAAATAAAGATTGACTTTATTAACTATGAATACATTCTCTTTGAAATATTTCTTCAGTACGTAATTTTGATATATTTTGACTGACTGAGCTTGACACTAAATTTGAAAACGAGGATAGAATTATTTGAAAATTTTGTTTCAACACCCGAACATAGATATCGTTATATAATAATGCAGTCTGTTGATTACAAGTTAACTACGTAATGTAAAAATACATGAAGATAGTTTTGTATTCTACTTTTCATTTTTAGAATTAAAATCATTTTGTCAAGATGCATGTAACATTTCTAAATAAACAAAAAAGAGCTTTGCGCACTGTAATGTTAAAACCAGTGTTCCGACGATTTGTCGTGAATTTGAAAATTATACTTTAAATATTTTAAGATTAAAGTTTGAAAGTTACATACATACTTTTGTGATGTATTTTTCTCATTTTTCTTCGTGTCAAATTTGTGTTGTCAGTCTGCTTTTTTTTTTATTAAATGCATGCTACCAGTTCCACTGTTTCTGCAGACAATGGCCCCTACCTTACTCTAAAAATGAAAAATAAATAAAGGGGATATTCCATGAAACCCATTTCAGACCGGTTACCTTCTTTTTCTTGCCAATATGAACAAATCATCAAACATTATCTTCAAGCAAGCAACATTATAGGCTTGTATGTGTGTTGATGTGTTCTGTCGACACGAGGGCTTTGATCGAGAGAAACGTTAAAATGAGGACCCGAGGAAACACTAACCATGTGTATGCTTCTTACGTGGCTCTGATGATTGCTTCTAATTTGGTCTAATATTGCGTGTTGCTTTGCCATGCATGCCTTGCGCTCTGGGTCAGGCAGATGGTTGCCATATTGAGTAATTTGAAAACATCCGCTTTGTCACCCCATCTCGCCTCTATACTTCTAACACACAATTCGTACGCATGCACGGTAGTATAATATGATAAATAAGAATTATATATACTTGTGATACCTCACACTTGCTTTATAATGAATAAAATGTGTGATGATATCAGTACAAGCATCGCATGTACTTAAATATAATGAAGCAGTCTTTGTGCATGACGTCACATCCTGTTGCCGATGTTGTAAGATTAGCTACCCCTGAAAATTATTTAATTCCCATACAAATTCGTCAGTTTAAGAAGTCTACATTAAGAGAATTAACAGGCTATGTATTTTGATAATCTGTTTATCCAATTTTCTCTCTCGTCACACGTCTACGTGGTGTACTAACTGACCATTCAATTGGAATTCATCAGAATTTCAAAACACGCCAATTCTCGAAATTGGCCTAATCTGCAGATCCATTTTATTATTTTTTGCTCTAAACACTTATCAATTTATGTCATTTTGAAAATGTCTCTGACGGATGACTGTCCATTATCCAATAGTTAATATTTCTGTTGAACTCTTACGACAAAGCTGTAAGCCACGATTTGTCAGCCGGCGTCAGCATGCTGAAGGATTCATTATATTGAGTGTTTATTGTAGATAAAAACTCGATTAAAGTCCGCTGTTACAGACACATACCCTGTCCAATCGTCTGTTTTACTTGTGGTAATATTTATCAAAATGTCCATCTCTACGTGTACCCGAGGGTCACAGCATTTTATTGGCGAAAATTGCCAGAAATGTGTGAGAATCCCTGAAATGGACGATAAAATGTATGTAATTTGTTCAACTGGCCAGATCCCAAACGATAACCCCCACTTAACGTTAGTTTTTAGATTGACTATAATTTAATAAATGATAGAAATCTCTTTGATAAATTATTCTGACTTAAATGTCTTTTCCAGACCAGTTCAGATTTATGTCAGTATTGTAAACATTTTAAATACAAGTTTATTTTATTAACCTTTCTTTGTGTACGTTCGCTTACATACAAACTGTGCGATACACTGACTTGACGTGGTCACCCCTGGCGGGGCAATTTCTCTAGGACGCACAAGGGTCAGTCTGTTTTTACGACATAAATGTTTTGGGCATTAGTTGAGACCTGCCAGTATATTTTATGTTTGTAATCACACGTTTTTACGATAAGAAATAACTGTTACACCGCTGAATGACCGGCCGGAGGGCAATTCCGGACCTGTCTACGTTTGTACCTTGAGCTGATTGTGTGCTTTCTTATTCTTCGTATATATGTGTAATCTACCTATCTATATCACAACATACTTTCTGAAAAAAATTAAGTGTAACATGTTTTTTATGACTATAATAGTACGTCTCAGATTTTAAGTGATGGTACTGGCCACCCGGTCAGGTCCAAGATTTCGGACACGGCTTACTGCCCAAAAGTTATGTCCCTTGATCCTACACAGATATTGGTTTGTCCCTTACGGCATGTCTGAACAGCCGTCAAATTGACACCAGTCATCACTTAACACTGCCACTTTATAGTGTAGATAATATTACTGTACATAACAATAAACACAATCCGTTTTATTTTGTGATGAAGGGTCATTCTCTAGCTTACGAAACCTAACCATCAACGTGTTCGATTCGACATCATTACTGTAAGTGAACAACAAACTATAAGTATTTTGTATCAAAATAACACCATTCTTAGTGGAACATCTGGTCAGTCATATACCAAAATATATAGGTCGGAAATGATATCCCATCAGTGTCCATTACCTTAAAAATATGTTTAGAAAAGTGGAGAAATGACAGTTTGTAATAAAATTCTACAGACAAACGATCGCTCGTGATAAACACCTGCATATTGCCTGCGCTGACCTGGTACCTGGTACGTACATGTATGTAAAGGTATCGGAAGTCGACATGGAAATCTACAAATTACATTTATTTTGAAATCATGCAAATTTTCATTTTTTTTTCATAAAAAACTGACCGCTTTAAAATAATCCACAGAGGACAAGATGTGATCAGTGACTGTCATTTGTGGACGGAGAGTGGCCAGTGACTGCCCTGTTTGGATGGGGTGTGGTCAATGGAATAAAGCAGAAAACCGTTGTCTATAAATAGAAATATCAGAATACTAAATACGGGTCAAAGTTGCGTAATACTGATAATTGTATTCTTAAAGTATGTTATGGTGATATTATAGAAAGTAACGACTCGTGGATAATGACATTGCGACAGGAATTAAATACGGTTTGATTAGTATATATTTGTTAATTAAACAATGTAGATGATAAACACTGTGACGTGTTTAAATCTCGACACCTTGTAGACACATTCTCCTCACAAAAATATATGAAAAAATCCGTGAAGATTAAATATTTGAAGCTAATTACAAAACTGAAAATGTCAGCACATGACTTGGAGATCGAAAGGGGAAGATACAGAAATATTGACAGGAATAACAGACTATGTGTATTATGTAATAATCAAGAATTGAAGACGAGCACCATTTTGTAATTATTATTATGCTAATTATAAACATTGGAAAAACTATGAAGAATTAAGTATATTGGTTAATACATAGCATTAACGCCTAAGATCAGATAAGAAAGATTGAATAGGTTATGTTATATAGACAGAAATGGGGCTAGAATAATATATCTGATATGACACTCTCCAGTATATGTAACTTGTGTGTGTTGTGTAACCCTAATAATGAAATGATTGTGAGAATGTATACAATGCTATTTATAAATATGATTTGTGTGTGTAGTATGCAAAGTTGTATATATGTTTATGCTTGTTATGTTAAGTGATAATATATAAAAACTTAAGCTAATAAATAAGGCTACCTCTGGTCCTAACAGTTAATGTTGAATTTTAAATATTATACAGTATTGTCACTTCTGTATCACTCTCAATCAAAGAGTTAATGACGAGAATTATAATTGTACTCGATATACGTCTGAAGGTGACCTCTTGAGAATATATAGACTATGCAAATCACGTGACAGCCGATCCCTATTTCGACACGGCAATATTGTTTTTAATACAGTAACACCTCTCTAAAAAGATTTTTTCAGAACATAAACTCCTTGATTTGTAGCAACATATAGTGAAGACCTTCCTCCATATATATAAAATTTGCGTTAAAACATTTTTTTATTCATCAAGATAGATTAAAGCAAGCTGTCGGCGAATGCGCGATTTACAATGTATTTTGACGTAAGAGCGCTTGGTTAATTAATTAAGAGTCGAGTTTGAGTAGTGGTGTAACTGTGATGTCACACATACTAATACATGTACAAAGTAACAGGCATTAATACCATCAAAATCTAATTAGTATAAAAATGTTGGGAAGTAATGAGTACATGAAATAAAAACGTTCCGAGGTATCAAAATTAGTTTGTTATTACACTCAGTTACATCAATATTCTTATATATATAACATAATGTGTTGTTTATATCTTACAGGCTGTCTACAATTATGCGAAGGTATCGTGTAAATGTCACGGCGTTTCCGGTTCCTGTAGCGTGACAACATGCTGGCAGCAGCTTCCAAGTTTCCGAGAGGTTGGAAACCGTCTTAAAGATAGATACGACGGAAGTTGTGAAGTTCGCTTTAACAGAAGGGGAACAAAATTGAAGAGAAAAATTCAGAGATACAACAAACCAACAAAAGAAGATATTATATATTTAGACGAATCACCGGATTACTGTAACGCTAACCGTACAACCGGAAGTTTAGGGACGGTAGGTCGTGAGTGTAACAGGAACTCAGTAGGCATGGACGGATGTGACCTTATGTGTTGTGGTAGAGGCTACAACACATTCAAACGAAGACTGGTAGAGCGGTGTCATTGTAAGTTCTACTGGTGTTGCTACGTTAAGTGTAAATCTTGTGAGCGAGAGATCGATGTACACACTTGTAAGTAAAAAAAAACAACAACAAAAAAAAAAAAAAACAAAACCCAAAAAACCCAAAAGTCACGAGTTTAAACTCCTCACGTTTCCGGAATGCTTTGCATATAGCAATGATTTGAGAATAAGTAATTAAATGATCCGTATGAAACAGAATCTTCGAACTCATGGAAGATGGTTTGGGTGATATGGAATGGATCTTTATTCAGTTCCATATTGTAGAGGACACCGAACATCGGATGCTTGTGACTACCGCGACCAGAATTGGAGCTTTTAATGAGTGTAGTCGCCGAACATGTTAGTGGCACTATTGCTATCTCAGTGTGGTGACCGATAATCTGGAATTACTATTAATTTGGAAACGGATGTGTTTAAAATGGAAATGAACGGAAACGAATGTGGCGATGTAATAACCAGACATGGAAGCGTCCATACAGAGTTTTTATAGGATAAATATAATGGAATCAGTGTGTGCTAAAATAGACATGTTTTGTAATAACAAGTGCTGTACCACGTGACACTGGTGCAGATCTCTCAGGGGCTGCCGTACTCTGCAATATCGCGCATGCACAGTTGTATCCACATATTCATGTTTGTAGACCTATATAGATCTATATGTATATACCGACTTGAGAGATTTGCTGTGGATTTTGATTCCGTTAAGTTCAAGGATATTACACAATTTCTTCGTGGTGTTTATCTTTCTAGGAATGCGCATGCGCATGCATTCTCCACGGAAGACCATGATACAGGATGTATGTCTCAAGCATCATATCAAGATGCGCATGCGTATGTGTACATAAGAAAACTATCATATTTGTAATTTTTTGTGTTTTACAGAACATTTCGTATCACTTGTATATATTGTTGATGTGTATATACACTTTGAATATATATTTATTACGCAATTTCCTTTTAAGATGATATGACAACACTGATGAGAAATCTTTTGTCTATACATGTATTTGTTCATTTTTGTAAAGTCATTTCAGTTTAACAATACACAATGTGATACTTTCAATAAGATGAACATAGTTTTATATTAGTTTCTCATCAAATGAAATGACTCTGTCGTGGTACTCATAGATGCGTCACAAAACCCGACTCTCTTGGTTAAAATTCCAAAAATAGAGAGGGGAATTTCCCACAATAGTGCTAGATAAGAATAGGCCTGCTGATTGGCTGAGAGCAGTTTGGAAAACAGACATTCATTCTGGAGGACTGTCGAAGAATAAGTCCTTCAGAGAATGCTCCATGGGTAATATTGGAAATAGGAAATTTTTGTTACACGCGTTATTAAAACAACCTTACATTTTATATCAATATTGAATCATTTCGATAATTTTACCAATTGTTTTACATAAAAGTAGATTTGAAAGCTGACTTAAAGGCTTTGATTTAGAAAAAAACATAAGAAAAGCAAGGTTAATATAGACTAATTTCAAAAATAAATGGAACAAACAACAAACAACTCCTTGTTTAGTTCATTCCATGGTCGTACTGACCGATATATCTTTGTTGTGACCAGACCTAATATCTACAGATGTGTATCTCAAGCTGTCTGATAGCTCTGTACTGTCATAGAAAAGGCCAATTAATATCTCTTTGTTGTGATAAAGACAAATAACAAATACTGACTGATATCTCTGTATTGTGGACATATATCTGAAATTGAGAATTGTCTCTGTATTGAGAACAGACATGCATCTCAGATTGGCCTATATCTGTGTATTATGACAGATATCTGATACTGAACAATGTCGCTCTATTTTGATAAGACTGATATCTGAGACTGGGAGATATCTCTGTATTGTGTGAAAGCCAGTATCTGAGACTAATTGATATCTTTCTATTCTGGACATATAGGTGTCTAAAATGGACAATTTTCTATTTATGGTGATCTGACCGATATCTGAGAGACCTATTCATCACTATTGTGGACAAATCGATATCTGAGACTGACCGCTGTATTTAACATTGGGATCAGACCAATATATGAGTTTGAGCAATAAATCTGTGTTGTGATCAGATCAGATCAATATGTAATTTTGATCGATACATCTGCAATTGATCAGATCAGACCAATATTTGAATGTGATCGATATCTCTGTACAGTGATCAGACCGATATCCCAAAACTGACCAATATCTCTTTATTGTGATTAGATCGGTATCAGAGGTTGATCGATACATTGTAAACATTAATATCCCTGTGTTGTGAAAAAGTTTATATCGCAGATTGAAGTTTAGTTTTACAGTAAACAACACATATCTCGAATATTTTGAATGTAAATATGTAGCAATATGGACGAAAATAACGAACTACTCTTTGTCGATATTCAGAAATTAAGAAAGACGTGTTATATCGAGTATGTATTCTGTTGTATGTATCATCTATTGATTGATCACTTTTCTTCAACGTGAATATTAAAACTGTGTTTCCTGATCACAGCCGTAATGTAATAATTATAACATTGTGTTTATATGTCGTAAACCTACGATGATATGTCATCAAGCCATAACACACATTCTTACACGACTCGTAGCAGCTTAATTATATCCCCGTTAATTTGTCAACACGTTAATTAACCTTAAACTCCTCCGTTTTGACAGATTTGTAATTGGTTTGTTTCCGAAGCATCACGGAAAGACACGTGTAATTTAAATATAGATTTGGATTTATAAAGAAATTTAATTGACAGAAGCATTAAAATCTACCGTTGATTTCACTAGTTATATTGTTGTTTTAAGATCTCGTTTTAAATCAATTACACTCCCATGTCACCATCATCAAAAGAAAAAGGACATATATATTCTTACAATGTACATTGTAACATTACACACATACTTACAGTGTACATTGTAACATCACACACATTCTTACAGTGTACATTGTAACAACACACACATTCTCATAGTGTACACTGTAACATCACACACATACTTACAGTGTACATTGTAACATCACACACATACTTACAGTTTACATTGTAACATCACACACATTCTCATAGTGTACACTGTAACATCACACACATTCTTACAGTGTACATTGTAACATCACACACATTCTTGTAGTGTACATTGTAACATAACACACATTCTCATGGTGTACACTGTAACATCACACACATTCTTACAACGTACATAGTAACATCACACACAGTGTACATTGTAACATCACACACATACTTACAGTGTACATTGTAACATCACACACATACTTACAGTTTACATTGTAACATCACACACATACTTACAGTTTACATTGTAACATCACACACATACTTACAGTGTACATTGTAACATCACACACATACTTACAGTTTACATTGTAACAACACACACATACTTACAGTGTACATTGTAACATCACACACATACTTACAGTGTACATTGTAACATCACACACATTCTTACAGTGTACATTGTAACATCACAAACATTCTTACAATGTACATTGTAACATCACACACAGTGTACAATGTAACCTCACACATTCTTACAATGTACATTGTAACACCACACATATTCTTACAGTGTACATTGTAACATCACACACAGTGTACATTGTAACATCACACATTATTACAGTGCACATTGTAACATCACACACAGTGTACATTGTAACACCACACACATTATTACAGTGCACATTGTAACATCACACACATTCTTACAGTGTACATTGTAACACCACACACATTATTAAAGTGTACATTGTAACATCACACACAGTGTACATTGTAACATCACACACATTATTACAATGTACATTGTAACATCACACACATTGTACATTGTAACATCACACACATGCAATGTATATTGTAACATCACACACATACTTACAGTGTACATTGTAACATCACACACATACTTACAGTGTACATTGTAACATCACACACATTCTCATAGTATACATTGTAACCTTTCACACAAGTATACTTTCGAAATTTTATATCAAGACAGGAGACAGGATAAAATGTCAGATATTATCAGTAATCGTGTATAAAAAGTAATGAATAATGATATTGATTTGATGAACTCCCCTCCCCCTCCAACTTTTATCACTTGAAATCTACCGTAACGGTATTGTAAATGAATATCACATTAACAAATGATACCATGCTCACGTTTAAAATGGGGAAATGAATAATTAAAAGTTCACTTTGGCAGCAAACATAACATTCGTGAAACGTTACAGAAGCAAGTATTGCCCACCCAAGTTGAAATAAATATTGTGGTATTAAGATATTCTACATACACTTCCTTAATCGGTCATCGCGTCCATTCTACAGTGTCACCGGGTGTTTTTATGTCAGGACCGTTTCGAGTTTTTCTTTATTTCGCTGTATCGATTCCAGTCCTGATCGACCACTACGTGTCAGTCATCACTGACCCAAGAAACAAAACTTATTATTTATGTACTAATAAAAACAACTTTGTAAAAATAAAAAACAACACAATTTGGGGGTGGGGGGGGGGGGGGGGGGGGGGGGGGGGTGGATGAAAAGTGCATAAAAAAATAACACAACTTTGGGGGAAAAGATGCGTTGAATAAGTCCTGAATTTTACACGATCTTCTTATTTTTTTTTAAATGGCGATTTTTTTCAGTCTGGGTTGTAATGTGGACGCTGTTGAACACTATGTTGGAGTGTGTATATTTGATTTTATTCACGGATGGTCGGCAGTGGTATGAGGATTTCTGCCATTCAAATTTTACGTGTACAACTTGTAGATGAAATGCACAAAGTCAATGGAATGATCTCGCTCTATTTCTGGTGAAAGGATGCATTAACACGACTTGTTAATGTGTAAAGGTAGGCAATATTGGAACAGGATTCTAAAACTAAATTCTTTGTCGTAAAAACGATTTTGTAATCAGGAAAAACGTGTTTTATTCGAAACAGTTATCCAGAAATGCGTTCCTAACTTTTATTGTTGGTAAAATATTTATAATGTCTATGCTAATGATGGCCTGCTGAAAACAATGTAACAGAAAGATTTATATT